TGGATTTCTGAAAAAAAAAATAGCTGATCAACTGGCCTCTTCACTTCAGTGCCACACTGTCTCTGAGGCTACCCAATTTCATCAATTGACCCATGTTAGTTGGAGAGGGCTTAGACATAAATATCCCCATGTGGCAGTCAAAGACCAAAAAAAAAAAATATATACACACCTTTCAATCTTTCCAACCTTTTCTTCAGCTATGGCCCTTTTGGAAAACTTAAGTATATCTTCCTGTCAGTTGATTCCTTCTCGTGTGCCTGCTGGGCGACAGCACACACCGGGGAAAAGGCCAAACATGCAATCAGTCACATGCTCCAATGTTTCGCCACCCTTGGACTACCTGATCAAATTAAAACAGATAATGGCCCATGTTTTATAAGCAAGCCCTTCTCAGAGTTCCTTTCATGAAAAATCCAACACTCCACAGGCATCCCCTACAATCCTCAGGGACAAGCCATTGTGGAAAGAGCCAACCAAACTTTAAAACGTCAATTGCAAAAACAAAAGGGGGAGTCCCTGCCTCCTCATGATTAACTAAAAAAGGCCTTATTTACCTTAAATATTCTAAATTTTTCCAAAGAAGACAAGTATTTGTCCCCCTTCCAAAAACATTGGTCCTCATCTACCAGCTACCACTCCATTCTGGTCAAAGGGAGAGACCCACTCACTGGAGCATGGAGAACACGAGACCCACTTCTTACAGTGGGAAGAGGGTTTGGTGTGTATTCCCTCAAAAAGAAAAGAGACCCCTCTGGGTGCCGGCGAGGGATATTAAATATTTGCCCCAACAAGGGGACCATGATGATAACCCGTCCAGGGAGTGTTTCACCCCTGAGGGTGGTTCCTCTGTTTCTCCCTCAGGGACAATAAAGGATGTGGACACTGTTACTCCTGACACTTCTGATTCCCATCCTGCCCAGTGATCAAGGATTTGGAGACCCCAATGCTGCAGCAAGGCGACTGGAGGCCCAATGTGGAAAGCCCTGTGAGTGTCAAGGCGGAACTTATTCTGCCTATAGCTACTACAAACAGGGAATGGTGCTTCAAACAGTGGACTGCGGAGATTGTATGGCCCAGCTTATAGTAAAAATCAATCAAAATGGTCCATTCTCCAGATATCAGAGTTGGGTCTGTATCTGTAAGCCTGAGATTATTCCCATTATTAATGGCAAACCAGGCCATTGTCCCTGTTCTTCGTTTTACCAAACCATGCATACTGTCTGCTACCAGTCAGCCCAACAATGTGTTAGTCCTTCCAATAATAAAACCTATTGGACAGGAACAAGGGTGGATAGGACCCCAGGCCCTATTACTGAGGGAAATAGTGCATCCTCCCAGTGTTATGGTAATCCTGGAAAAACAGTGTGCTGGGACATGGAAGCCCCCATTGGATATTCCGATGGCAGTGGGGTCCAGGACGAAGCCCAAGAATTGCAAGTCCATAAAGAAATAGAACAGAGAATCAAAGCCCAGTATCCTGAGCTTAATTATCATCCACTGGTGGTCCCGGAAAGTAGGGGAGACCTAGACCTCGACCCCCAAATGGAAAACCTAGAGCTGACCTTTTCATTACTAAATCAAACTGCTCCCATCTTAGCCAAGGATTGTTGGCTTTGCCTGCACGTTGGGTCCCCCCCGACCCACTGCAGTGCTTGTTAATTCCTCTGATACTAAAAGTCTCACTTTGTTACATAACTGTACCTTAGCCCCACCCCCCATCCAGGTCCAGCCCTTGCCAATATCGCCCAGCTCCTGCGTTTGGGCTACTCCCCAACCAAACATCTCTCAGATTGATGTAGGAAGTATTGCCCCCACATCCTGTAGCTCAATCGTCCCCATGCCCACTGATGTTAATCTTTGCCCCCCGGGGGGTATGGTCCTAATTTGTGGAGGAGGGTGGGCCCATAGCTTCCTGCTGGTCAATTGGACAGGCCTCTGTGCCCTTGCTGTCTTAACTCCTGACATAGACATCATACCGGGAGATGAGCCCCTCCCAATCCCTTCCTTTGATTATATGGGAGGTAAAAATAAAAGAGCAATTCATATGATCCCCCTACTGGCAGGCTTAGGAATAACTGCGGGTATAACCACTGGGGTCGCAGGGTTGGGATTGACCACCCACCTACACAAACAACTCTCCCTACAATTAATCAATGATGTACAGCTTCTCTCTGGTACCATCCTAGATCTCCAAAAACAATTAGATTCCTTGGCTGAAGTGGTCTTACAAAACAGAAGGGGGATAGACTTACTAACAGCTGAAAAGGGAGGCATCTGTTTGTTCTTACAGGAAAAGTGCTGCTTTTATGCCAATAGATCCGGGATCATCCAAGATAAGATTAAAAAACTCCAAGAAGATTTAGAGAAAAGGAGGCGAGAGTTTCAAGAAAACCCACTCTGGACCGGTTTACATGGCTTTTTACCCTACCTCCTCCCTCTACTTGGCCCCCTTCTTATGCTTCTCCTTGTCCTTATTTTCAGACCCTGTATATTCAATAAGTTCATGGGGTTTCTTCGTCAGAGAATAGAGGCAATCAAATTACATCAAGTCGAGGTGCATTATCACAGGCTCGCTAGTCAGGAGCCAAGCTCCCATGATTGGCCATCTTCATACAATTGCCCATCCCCTGCCCTCCATGTAGCCAATGATGGGTAAGACCCTCCCAGGCTGATGAACCTAAGACAGGGGCCATGAAAAACAATCATGGTTACCTGAGGACAGGCAACTTCAGTATCTGAGGAGAGGCAACCTAAGACAGGGCATGGAGAGGCACCTTGGCGGATGAGATTCATAACACCCAGTGACAGATAAGATCTCCACAGGGGAGACAACCTAAGACAGGGGTTGTGTTTCTCCTCCGTTACAACAAAAGTAAAAGGGGGAATATGTTGGGTCTCCAGGACCCTCATAATTGTGGCATAACTTTTGACGAGGCCTATTGTAACTTCCTGAGCTGGACTAAAGTTTGGTGACCTGTCTCTGGCCAGTCACTTCCTCGTGGAGGTGACTCAGCAGGGCCCAACCTCGGACTGCCTCTCCCCAATCACAGCTGGCGTGGCCAATTCCCAGTGGCTCACAGCCATTGCCCCAGATGACATACAACTTTGCCCTTCGCTTTTCCACACCCCTTTTTGTTTAAACTATATAAGGTAATGCCTGATGCAATAAAGTGAGTTCCTGCCTCAACAAGACTCCCAACTCGGTGTGGTTTTTGAGTCGCCGACACTCACCATCCCGCTCAGCCCCTGAGAGAGGAACACAGGCTGGTCCTGGCCTCTCTCCCTGTGCCATACCTGTCAGAGAGCAATCTGACAATCTGTGTGTGATAAAATGTTATTGCATGGCTAGCAATTCCACACCTAAGTATATACTGGAAGAGGTTGCAAATGGGTGCTCTAACAAGCACTTGAACAAGAATGTTCATAACAGTATCAGCAGCACCGTCCACAGCAGCCAAATGATAGAAACAACAAATACCTATCAATGAACAATGGATGGATAAATAAATGTGGCACATCAATATACTGCTGGGGGCACATATGTGTATCGCATATGTGTGTGTATACCTCTGCATGTGGATATGCATTCGTGTATATAGGAAGAAATGAAGAACAGTGGAAATGGGAAATGTGTCTCTAAATATGTAAGACCACCCTTTTCCCACCTTAATTGCTTGACAGACAAGTGATGATTTAAACCAAAAATAACAGTATATTAAAGAGTTTATAATATACATGAGTGAAAAATATGATAAAGTAATATAAAGGATGAAAGGAAACATAAATTGAATTGCTTTTTATAAGGATCTTCATTCTACATGAAGCGATGTAAGATTGTTAAGATACCCTTGATCAAGGCTCTATGGAAACACATTAAGGAAAGCTGTTTCTCTGACCTGAGTAGAGCCCTAACATTCCAAGCTACCAAAACATAAAGAGTTAATCCAGTTGGGCTAATCAGTCACATACTCAAGGAACCACCTCTCAGGAAGGCAGGACCACTTTAGGTGATACTAAAGCAAGAGGAGGAATAGTTAGCCTTTAATGAGATAATGTATTTTTGCTTCCCAGCATTCCTGCCCCCTAGTGCAGGAGCTTACAGGGCCCAGCCATGCAGCTTCACTAGTCTGCCTGCTTTCCTGAATTTCCCAGAAAAGTGTAATATTTCCTTGTCTTTCATCTATCTCTGTTCTAAGCATGTTTTCCCTAACACTTTGGGCTTCACTCTCTCTAAAGCTCATCTCCTGGTCATGGCTGCTTGTCTGCCATGTGGCTGACTTCTTTCTCTTCTTCATCTTCCTCCTCCAGGCATCTACTGAGATTTCCAGCTTGCCTGCCCTGAGGCTTTTCTTTTAAACTCCAATAAAATGTCTTCGAACTTCCTGTTGAGTTCATACTTGAATTCTTTAAATTCCCAAAACTCCACTGTGACTCCCTAAATTTCTGGTAACAAGATTAATTCAAGGTAGACCAGGACAAATTAAATCTACATGTTGTAATCCCTAGAAAATAAAGAGAATCTCAACCCCTACCTCACACCATACACAATCCCATATACAGTGAGTATCTACAGGAAGTAGTTTAGGAACTGTGGGGACATATATTTATGGGTGATATGAGCCTGTTTAATGCCGCTCAAATTAAACTGTATGACTTTCTTTTTCTCTCATAATAACCAACCTTTTTCTTTTAGAGAAGGTTTCACTATGTAGTCCAGGCTGGCATTGAACTCACAATCCTCTTGCCTCAGTCTCCCAAGTACTGAAATTACAGATTTATGGTACATGCCCAGCTATAATTGAAATGACAAAGCTGATTCCATTTTGTTCTAGCTGACTTTTGCTTTACCTTGTGTTTCTGCCCAACCACTCCCACTGCAGTTAGCCAGCTGTCAACATTGCACCTGTAGTTTCAGGGGGTACATAGTTTCTACATTACTGGAAAACTACAAGTAGCCAGGGAGCATGTCCAGGTATCATGTCCTCCCACCCAACTATACCTGTATCTCCATGGAGCCCACTGTTTCTGCAATTCTAAGAAACTTGTTTTTCTTAACCGAAACTTTGTTAGCTGAAAACATCATTGTTAACTGAC